TTATAATAATCAGCAAACAATTATATATAATAGTACAATATAATAATAATAAATATTATTAGTAACATAATGGTAATGTTAACTCAAAGTTGTATAAATAATTTGTGCTGATATTAATTAAGTTAAATTTAAATTCAGACTGCCAAAGAATGATATTAAGAGAATGCAATGGGAAAACCTCATTAAAAAATACATTGACAATTACGATGAAAAAAAATATTTTAATTTGTAGTAAACATTTTACACCAGGAAGTTTTCACAAAGTTGGTTTGAAAATTTTTCATCGAAAAGGTTCTTTTCCAACAACGGTGGTTTGGTTTTTCCTTCCCGTGGTGTCGTCAAAGTTATTAAAATACTTGATTTATAAAAATTTATGCTTTATGCTTTTTCTATATCATCATCATAAAACAGTATACAAGAAAACATATATTACAATAGAATAACAATAGGAACAATGCATTAACAATCATTAACAACATTGCCAATAACAGACGGCTACCAATAAACTATTCCTAACATTTAATAAACAGATTTGTCATGTAACAGAGAGGCAATTAAAAATGGAAACCGAGCAACATAAAATGAATACTGAATCGGTAGTTTCAAATGTTTTTAAAAGGTTGGCCAATGAAGATTTATTAAATCTCAAAGAATATATAACAGATACATTTAATGGATTAAATAATCATTATTTTTGTTTACTTAGCAAAAACCACAAATCAAATAAAGATCCGTTCTAAATTTCATAAGTTAATACATTTCAAACATTTGTCTCTTTGTTGTCAAATTAGTTGCCATTGACTTGCGTAAATGATTTGCACTTAAATATAAAACTATTCTTATTTTAATCGCTAAAAGTAAATTTTTGAAAATACACCATAAAAAAATTTATTTAAATATTACTTATTTTATCACTGATTAAATGTAGAATTAACACAGTTTGCTAAAAACAGTCCATTTATTATTCATGGCATACAATATATAAGCAGATTCAAAAAAAGGTACTCAAATATATGATTGTCAGCTATTGTTATTACAGTAATTATGAGCAGTCATTCGTTTGGTATACATTCTCATGAATTTACATATCACGTTTATAATAATAATAAAATAAAACGTAGACAAATTAATATGAATGAATGATTGTGATTGATTATCAGAATATCCATTGCAGGGCAGAGCAGTAGCGGATCTACCATAGGCCCGGGGGGGCAAGTTGCCCGCGAGGTCTTTTGCTAAAATTGGCGCCTCTTTATTTATCTGTAAAAAAAGAATGTGGAATCATTTTGGAAACTCTAGAAGATATTAATTATGGAGAAAAAAGTTATACAGGAAGTGTCCGAGCAGAAGCTGTTGGACTTTTTAGTTTGTTGACTAACTATTCTTTTGTTTTTCTGATGTTTTGTTTACAAAAAGTGTTGAATAACATTAACTTTGTGTCTAATTATTTGCAAAGTAATAACATTGATGTAGCAATTGCAAAGAATTTGATTGATATTACTAAAAACAAATTTGTTGAAATGAGGACTGATGAAGCATTCAACAGTTTGAACTCTTTTGTCAGTTCATACATAAAGAAAGAGTTTTCAGATTCTGATATACAGATAGAAACAGATTTTAAAGAACGACGGGTATCCAAAAAAAAACGAATGCCTGGTGAACTCAGCAAAGATGAGAGGATAGATGATACAGCCAAACGGTTCAAAAATGAAATATACTTTGCAACTTTAGACACACTTTTAATGCAATTGGAAGAACGTTTTCATGATTTTTGTGAAATAGTTGCAAATTTCCATTGCCTTGATCCATCCCAATTCTTGGCAGATAACACATCTTTTCAACATTGTGTGCAATGTATGATAATGATATTAACCACAATGAAGCTGTTTTAGAATATGAAACTTTGAAAAATGTTTATGAATCTATACGTTCATTCATCACTACCTGAAGATCTTAAAATCCATGAAATGTTACCTTTTCTTATTAGTAAACAAATGGCTCCAGTTTTTCCTAATCTTTCCATTTTGTATAAAATATTCTTGACACTGCCAGTAACATCTTCTACAGCCGAAAGAAGTTTTAGTAAATTAAAAATTATAAAAAATTATTTAAGATCAACGATGACCAATGAGAAATTATCTGGGTTATCATTAATTGCAATTGAACGACAACTTGCTGAAAATATTGATTTTGATTCAACCATAAATCGTTTTGCTACAGTGAAATCAAGAAGAAAACCATTTATTTGAACTGACTTTTGTTTTAATTAATTATTTCTTAATATAGGTTTTTATTTTGAAAAAAAGCAATAAAAAACTTAATTAATTTTTATTCCAATAAATGTGTCACACGTTATGATTTCAAAAAATCGCTCCTGTAAATATTACGCCGCCCCCCCGCGCTTCAAAACCTAAATCCGCCACTGGGGCAGAGTGAAGGATAACAGTGCAACTTGTATTTTGGAAATTAGTATAAAAAAAGCTCAACGAAACTGAAACACACCAGCAACGTTAGCAATCAAACATTACCAACTTATGTTACTAGTTTTTTAAAACGAAATTTTTATTTGGTAATAACTCAACTACGGAAGCTATGACGATAATCAAAAACTAGACGATATTCTAAACATAGATAAAAAGCTAAATGTTTTTTAAAATTAATTTTTCATTGACGTTTTTGGTTCTATGGATCAAGATTTTTTGCAAAAATTTGTTTTAACCGATGTATGAATATCAATAATCAATGATATATATATATATATATATATATATATATATATATATATATACATACATATATATATATATATATTTTTACAATATTCTATAAATTCTATCAAATGTTTTGCGTTAATGTGAAGTTCATTAAACGAACTACAGACATATTAACGCCAAACATTCGGTAGAGTTTATAGAATATTGTAAAAATTTTGGTCTATTACCAACATATATATATATATATGCTGAGACATCATCAACCAAAAACTATCAGGATTTTCCAACTGGTTTCTGGCAAATAAACTACTACTAAATTATTCCAAATCTTTTTATATAATTTTCGGTCCCAAAATATTAACTAACCAAGTCCAAGATCTAAGCTTGCTGCTTAACAACAATCCGATTAATCGTACTCGCTCAACTAAATTCCTAGGTATCAATACTGCAGATAACCTCTCATGGGACTACTACCTGCAATCAACTTCCCAAAAGGTCAATAAACTAATTGGAATTTTCTATAAAATAAAATACAAACGTTCTCAGTCTGCTCTACTAAACCTTTACTACGCTTTTACTTATTCCCATCTTACCTACTGCATAACTGTATGGGGAAACAGTCCTAAAACATTACGCTCTCTCAAAAACGCTCAATACCTCTTATCTTTAATACTAATCCTTTTGCATATACTAAACCCTTTTTTGTAAATAACAATATTTTACCATTAAGGTTGATATATTATTATTTCACAGCCATACTTGTTTTCAAATTTATTAATAAACTTTTTCCTACTCCTCTAGATCACCTTCACACAAGCAATTTTATTCTATCTGTCCATACAAAACACACCCATTTCTTTTACACACATAGAACCCGTATTAAATTATTTTCATCAAGTATTAAACTTACTGAGCCAAAAATTTGGGCTAAACTGCTATCTCCTCAGTTACATGAAATCAAAAACCTACAACTCTTTAAGAGGATGCTGCGTAACTTTTTAACAAACTTAGATCACGACACCACCATCTAGTTATCTGGGAAAGAATGTTCATGTAAGCGTTATGTGTGTCTAGGTGTGTGTGAATGTGGTTGCTTGTGTGAGTGTGTGTGGATGAGTGCTGTGCTCTTGTGAGTGTGTGTGGATGAACAAGTGTGTGTTTACGTGAGTGTTTTTGTGCGCGTGAGTAAGTGTATGTGCTTGGAATAATTCTTCTGCAATGGTATTTCTATAAGATAAGATTCAAAATTTTAAAATTAGTCAAAGTATTATTATGTTTTAAACTTCAAACAATTTTGAAGTATTAGAATTACTCTTTGAAATATCTATAACCTACATTATATTGTGTTTAGGTACATTGAATATTTTTTATAATTATGTTTTATATTTTGGAACGGTTTTGAAATATTAGAATTACTCTTTGAAATATCTACAGCATACATTATATGGTGTTTGGGTACCTTAAATTCTTTTATTTAGTTAAATCTGTCCATATATCATTATTACAAATTGACACTGGTGATCAGTACAAGAAGTCCAGACTTCTTTTTCGATTTCCAGATCATTTCTTTTTATTGATTTTATTTTTCTGATTTCACTGTTTGATTTGATGAAATAAAAATGTCAAATATATATATATATATATATATTGTCGGAAATTTTAAAATAATAAATAATAAATTAATGAGGAGGAGGAGGATTTTTAAAAGGGTGACAAGGCCCCACGTTGGGCGCCAATTGTCGGAAATTTTAAATAATAATAAATTAAAATGATAAGAGGAAGCAATCTCCTCCTCTATCTTTCTCAGGGAATTTTTGTATGGTCCGACAATAATTTTTGTGTATATTTTTATCGTGAGTTCGGCCAGTCCTGTGTGGCACTGGGCTTTTTTCGAATTATATGATTTTACTGAGTAACACACGAACGCGTAAAAATATTCGATAACAATTTTATTAATCGACGGAAGTAAATAAAAGGAATTGAACTAATGAACTCTATAAGAATGTAAATGTCAATGAACAAACTGGAATACAGGAATTAGAACTCTTCTTGTCGGGTCTTCAACTTGGAATATGTTTCTTGGCGTTTTAATCGTACAACTTCGACGTGTGTATCCGATGGTGATGTCGATACAACTCCAATAAATAAAAAAAAATGAATCACAAAAATCGGAGCCTATGGAAATTGCAAGCTGCGTGTGAAACTATACCAATGAGTATAGAATCCAGCAAAGAACCCTAGGTCCACAAATAGCACAAGAAACAAAACAACGAGGCGGATTCGTTTTCACAGAACCCAAGGCCTGTTTTCACTGGGCCTGTCTGTCAGTCGGTCGGCTTTCGCACAACCCTGGCCTGTTTTCACTGGGCCGTCAAGTCTGATCGGCTTTCGCACGACCAAGGGCCTGTTTTCACTGGGCCTGTCTGTCAGTCGGTCGGCTTTCGCACAACCTTGGCCTGTTTTCACTGGGCCGTCGAGTCTGATCGGCTTTCGCACGACCAAGGGCCTGTTTTCACTGGGCCTGTCAGTCAGTCGGTCGGCTTTCGCACAACCTTGGCCTGTTTTCACTGGGCCGTCAAGTCTGATCGGCTTTCGCACGACCAAGGGCCTGTTTTCACTGAGCCTGTCAGTCAGTCGGTCGGCTTTCGCACAACCCCGGCCTGTTTTCACTGGGCCGTCGAGTCTGATCGGCTAATAAACCATTTGTCCTTCTGAAAATTGTTTATCCTTTACTCTTAAGTCATACTGTGCAAGTAATATTTTAACATCTTTTTCTTTATCAACAAATTGACCCAAATCTGGTACTACTGAATGTTTGATGACGTCTTTAATTAAGGATAGGTCTTTGTCTTTCACTTGTTCTGCAACCCAATCAACACCGTTTTCTACTTTGTTTTCTGTTATAACACCACATACTGCTCTCGACAATCCATCAGCGTTTGTATGTTTACTTCCTGGCCTATGCTCAATAGTGTAATCGTACTCTTCAAGAATTTCAATCCATCTTGCTTGTTGTCCTATTGGTTCTGGTTTTTTTCTCAGCCACTGAAGCGCTGCATGATCTGTTCTTATTTTGAATGAACGACCGATCAGATACTTCCTGAACCTTTTCACAAATGTTATAATTGCAAGTAATTCTTTCCTGGTTACATTGTAATTCATCTCATGTTTATTAAATAACTGACTACCGTAACAAATGGGTTTTTCTACTCCATCTTGTAATTGTGAAAGTACTGCACCCATAGCTTTATCTGAAGCATCGCAATCTAAAATAAATGCATCCTCGTCATTAGGTAGAGCTAATATTTCAGAACTGATTAATTTTTCTTTCAAACTATCAAAAGCAGTTTGGCATGCGTGCGTCCATTGAAACTTGTTACATTTCTTTGTCAATTCATATAACGGAGCTGCTATTTCTGAAAAATCTGGTACAAATCGTCTGTAGTACTGGCACAAACCTACAAATGCTCTACTTTGTTTCAGTGTAGTTGGTACTGGCCAATCTTTGATTGCTGTAATTTTAATTGGGTCCGTTCCGATCCCTTTATCACTAACTATATAACCTAAACAGCTAACTGATTTCTGCATTAAATGACACTTCGACGGTTTGAGCTTTAAATTTGCCTGGTGCAATCTTTGAAACAACAGTTCTAATCTTTTTAAATGTTCGTTTAAATTTTTACTAAATATAATTATATCGTCTAAGTAAACTAAACAGGTTTCAAAATTTAATCCTATCATGATATTGTCCATTAATCTTTGAAATGTGGCAGGAGCGTTACAAAGTCCAAATGGCATTCTAGGAAATCTGAAAGTACCGCGATGACAAACAAACGTGGTCTTATTTCTGTCTTTAGGATGAACTTCAACCTGATGATATCCTGATCTTAAATCGAATGAACTGAACCATTGGGATCCAGACAGCAAATCGAGACATGAGTCTATTCGAGGAAGTGGATACACATCTTTAATCGTTATTTCATTCAACTTTCTATAATCCACACAAAATCTGTAGGAATTATCTTTCTTTTTAACTAATACTAAATTAGAAGCCCATTCGCTCTGACAAGGTTCTATAACTTTTTGCTGTAACATCTCTTCTAACAAATTGTCAATGATTGGTAGATGTGCTCTAGGTTGCGGTCGCAATGCTTGGCGAAATGGTCTGTTTGCTCCGGTATCAATTTCATGTTGCGTTACATTAGTTCTTCCTAAATCAAACTCGCTTAATGAGAGAATATTTTTATACTTCAGCAACAACTTTCTCAAGTTACCACGAATATTATTTGGAACACTGGAATATACCTCATCAACTATTGTTTTTATAGTCTCATCATATTCTTTGGTGGGCTTGTTATTTGATTCTTGAACTTCATCATCAACTACAACTACTTCATGTAATTTGGTGATTACTTGATCCTTAGGTATTTCAACTTTCTCATCAGATATGTTACATACTCTAATACTCGTAGACGGTTTATTGACATCAATTAATGATCTCGCAGTTAACAAATTGTTTTTGATTTTATTTATGCTAGTTGACCATGCTGTATTCTGTCCTAAAGGCTTCAAATTTGATTTTTCTATAAACGTCTGAATGAACATTTCACTGCGGGGTGGGATGACAGCTGTAACTTTCGAAATGCATCTTATATCTGTTTCTTGTCTAGATTTTACGAGGTTGTAACTTTTTCCGTTTATTACAACACTACTCCTTCCAAAATTCCAAATGCAATTGTTATCATATAACCAATTCTTTCCTAGAATTATATGATCAACGTTTGGTGACACATAGAAAGTTGTAAGAATCTTCTGATACTTAAGTTCTAATGGCA